TTGATCTGCTCTGGCACATACCAGGGCTCCTGAAAACTGCATCTTTGCATGCACAATAATGCCCACAGGTAATAGGAAACTAGGGTTTCAAAAGAAAACCTGATCCTATTGCTAGATAATAGTAGTTTCCTAAATAAATGTGTGGTTGCCCCGGGGGCTGAGGTTGTTGCCAGATGCACCTTTTTTTGATTGGCGAGAACAGCAGATGACGCTTCATGGCATATAAGTGCAAGAGAAAACACACGGGAGCACAGATAAGCTGAGCAAACGAGCTACCTGGAAAGAAGAATTGAAAAGGTGCTAAAGCAGCTGCCTGCAATGGCATTTGGAATGCTAATTTATATTTTGCTGAAAGGTAGGTTTGGAGGGGGCTTTTCTATGGCACAGTACGCTGGGCTTTCTGGAGCAAGAGCTCACTCTACCTGAAATAAGCAGTTGGAGTGGAAAACATGCAAAGACATTGTGAAGCAGCATTGTTTTAGTTAATGTGAACCTCAACAAAGTTTTTAACAGATAAATAATAATTTAGACTTGGAAAAGAGGCTACTTTGTTAAGTAGGTGTAATATCGTCTGTAATATATTGCAGGTAGCCTTGTCAGAAGTTACATAGATAATCGAATGGAGATGGATTTTGGATTTCTGCAAATTAGAGTTTTTTTTCTCTCACAATCATAATAATTATTCCATGACAAAAGGAGGTTTGAGGCAAGAACATTTCACATGAGCTGTTATTACTTTTCTGCATTGCATCAGAATTTGTAATAAGTGGGTAAATGCTTTCTGAATGAAATGAACCTTGAATAGATACGCTGAGTTTTTCTGTTACAGTAAGCATCTATTTGCATTACACAGCAATGGGGGCACTGAGTGAAGAATCGGCTATTACTGTTTCATCCCTCAGCACAGAGTTGTGGAATAACTGGACAAAAAACAACACTGAAGGTATTTGTGTTCCATTCTGTTTTTCTCTATTAATCTGCCACTGAATAGGTTTTATTTTGTTTTATGCTAATAGCTCCTGTAAGGCTCCTGTCAGTTAGACAAAGTTGGGTTTTGAATATATTGTACATGTGGGATGAGCTACTTTATTCATGGAGCCTTAAAATCCTCTCTGAAATAATGGCTGTCACTCAGCTGTGGTAGGTTCATTGCTGACCAGCTCAAGAATCACTTATCCAACCCTTTTTATAATTAGGGGAAGGTATTTTGAGGCTGTTTGGGATAGATTATCTACACTTTTACTGGTCATTTATGTTAAATAGTGCTTGGTTTCTAGCTGTCTTCAGTCTGAGTCTTTATGCACTGAAGTGAGAATGCAGCAAACGTAACTTAAAGTGATGCCTCTCATTACGGTTACTCAGTAGTTTTTCTTTGTTGCAGTTTTGCTTTCGGCTATCACAGCTTCCCCAGCCCTTTTCAGAGTGCTAGCGCTCTCTTCACTTTCTTTTCTGACTGAAATGTGAACTCAAGCTATTTACTTGCCAACATCTGAGACCAGAGTGCTGTGTTTATCCTGCAAGCTGCATTCTTGATGTTACTTCAGGTGCTAGTGATGTCATTACTTTTGGAGACCTGTGCGATCTGGAACTGAGGTTTTGGCAGGTCAGTAAAGGAGGAAAGGATTTTAACTGTGATACTTATTAATGTCTTTGTACTTTTAAAAGAACATAAACATGCATACAAATCATTTTCTGCTAATTGTAAGTCATCTTGGGATGTCTTGCAAGCTTTTTTTAGTAGATCCATAAGCTTTTTATTTTTCTCATAACAAGTCAAACTGCCATTCTCTTTTTATGTCTGTTTTGTCAACGTGGTACAGTTTTATAGACACAAGCACATTCGTACACATGCTGTATGTGTTGGACAGTATTATTTTTGTGTGTATGTGTATATATATGTATATAATACATATGTATATGCACTTGCACACATATCTACATACTTGTAACAGTCAAGGTGGTGTTGATTTTTGACTGCAGTAGTTTGATTTATTAGCCCAGCGTCTGTGGTCTGGCCTAGTGGATGTGTCTGACATGGTTCTTCTAGCGCAGGAGTATAATGAAGTAGCCGTATTTGTTGGGACTCGATACGTACCCTGTATTATTTCTAGCCAGCAGGAGTTATGGGTCATATTTTAGTAAATAAGAGTTGTGTTTACAGGAACACAACCGTGACTGCAGTTGTTCCCTGCTAGTTGCAGTTGTGCAAATCAACTAGGTCCCCGTGCTGTTAGCTGAGAGCGTGTTTTCCTCAGTAATAACACAAATGTATAGCCCTTCAAGCACACGTTTGCACAGGTAGTTAAAAGTATATGTAGGCGTACCTTATACGCAGCCCTTGATAAATCAGAAAATGTGATTTCTGGCAAGAAGATGAGAAAGAAATGATTGAAGAGTCACCAGAGAAACTGAATTCCCGGGTAAGAATCACTAGAGGAAACAGAAGTTTTCTGTGGGACTGCAAGTCCTCTGAGGACTGAAGTGCAGCTTGTGGAGAATGACTAACTTGTGCTCAAGGAACAACTCCATCTTCATCCCATTTACAAGACCACGTCCAGTGTCCTGTTGTTATACCTTAGGCAGGCCAGTGTAACCAGTGCTGGCACTGGGAAGCATTAGGCTCTGTGATCAGTCAGGGAAAAAAACGTGTGGAGAGCTTGCAAAGCAGGGATGAACAACTTCAGATGCTCTTTCAACCAAAATGAAACCTTTGTAGTGAAATTTTCAGCCAGAAGTTGGGACAGGCTTGATTTAATGGGGAAAAATGAGGCCCCTTCATTGCCACAAGCCGCTTCCTCTGTGTGACTTCAAGGGAGGTCCCGAACCTGGGGCTGACCCCTTCCCTCCCCTTTCTGACGCTCCCGTTCCTCCCTGGCACACCATACCTTAAGGCTGAGCTGTCGTGGTCTTAGTGGCTCACTCTTTTGGTAGCCGGTCTGTCAGTTTTGGCATGCCCAGGCTTCCAGGTTCCTGTCGTTTTTGATTTCATGTCGGATCTTGCCAAGTGTATCTGCAGGAATGACTCAGTGGTAGGCAGCTGTCGGGTGCTTACACAGCATGCTTTTCTTTCCTCACATGACTTGAAAGGGCACATGGATGTGTTTGTTCAACAGCTCGTTTAGTATCTAGGTGGATAATGTGATATGAATTAGCATAATGCTCTGGGATGGGTTAGAAAATCTTTCTTTTTGTTTTCGAGACTCATCATTCTTGTAAAGGTAATCATTTGTACTTTTGCAACGTCAGAATAATTAGCACTTGGGATTTGCGTGCATACACTTCAGATGGGATCTTGCAACCCACACAGGACAAAGCTCTCGCTCCTGAAGTGAGGGAGGGCAGGCTCGCTCGCTTGTGGCCTGTGTTACAAGACGTTTGTCTTGAGCGCTTTCCAGGCAGGCTTCTGTTCAGGGCTGACCTTGGTTTCTGATGACAGTGCTGACTTCGGTACTCCGGGGCAGTGTCTGTGTGCACTAAGCAAGCTTTCTTCCAGGAGTCGCTGGATGGAAGGCTGCCATCTCTCGGCAAAGGTGGTGTAAATCAGGAGGGATGCTTTGGCAACCTAGCAGTGGGAGTGTGAAGCTCACCACTGAGTGCTGCTGCATGCGGGGCTGACCTGGGAGATGTTTCAGGCCCTCTCTGCTGCGCTGCAGTGAGCTGTACAGACAGGGCCTGAGCTCGGGCATCTCCCGCAGTGCACACGTGTTGTCTGTCGCTGGATTACTAGGCCAAAAATATGCAGCTGGTAATACAGCTTCTGGCCTTGCATTTGTAGCTTCAGGACTTCTTTCTCCACAAATCACTGAGAGGCACTTGTGAGTCTTTGTTTTACTTTTTACAAGACTAGGGAGCGTGCTGGAAACGTGCTGTTTTCTCAGCCCAAAGAATTATGTTTTAAATGAAGACATGCTTTTCCTTCTCCTCTGTAGCTTTGCCTGAGAAAGAAGAAATCCCTCTGCTCTTTTTCGAGAAGACTTGAATTATCCCTTGTTCTCTAGAAACCTCTCCATAAGCTGGAAGTCTGATTTCTCTGTAAGATGTTAGGGGGCACTATTTTCAAAGCAGTGTTGCTCAATCTGAGTGCGTGAGTGGGTTCCTGCTGTGAAACGACTCACACTGAACTTGGCTCAGAAAATGGGGGGAATTGGTGGTGTTAGTCCTGAATCTGATAATTGTTTCGTCAGTATAAGCTTTCTAAACCTTGATTCAGCACTTAGTCTGAAAGGAGGCTTTCTGCTTGCTGCGCTGTTGGTTAGTCACTGAGCAGACCTGGTCACCTTGTCACCTTCCCACCTGATTGTGTGTTTCTTGTGGTCCTAACGGAAAGCTGCTGTTGACGTAGGCTCAGTGAGGAAATAAATAATCTTCAGTCATCTTAGAACTGTCCCCTCAGATAGTAACACACTGGACATCCCACCCCACTAGAGATTGCTGTAAATTGGGTCGAGACACCAGTTCAAACTGACTTTGAGCCTTCTTTCTGTTTGCTGCAGCCCTTTTCTTGTGACAGATTGATCAAACCATAACTGGACACTGCTAACAGGGGACCGTGGAGAACAGGTCGAGGGAGCAATCCTGCCATTCCTCGCTTAATTGTAGCTGCAGCACTGACAGACAGGAGCGCAGTAATTTGTCTTGTGCTGGGAGGAAAAGGGAAAAGAATTCATCGTTTGAATTCAAACTGGGAAGCATACTAAGAATAATTCAGTGCTCTCATTGTACCTGTAGCCCCCTGAGCAAATATTCCATCATCATTTTTCTACACACTCCTCAAGAGCAAGTAATTTACGTGCAGTTTGTTCTTCTTCCAAAGTCAAGCTGGTGGATCTTAGAAGCTTGTTCTGATAGCAGCGTTTGTCAAGAGACCTATCCCAGTGAATCTGTATATTAGGTGTCTTTCTGCAGGAGCTGTCTGTTCCTCTTGAGTTGTGAAAATATTTTTGAATTATTTGATTTATTTTTTTTTTCCAAATATAACGCGGCTTTTTCCCCTTTGACAGTAGAGTACACAGAGCAGCCGAGGCTCTTGAAGCTTATGCAGACCTGTCTGGAAGAGCACCACAGCTATTGTATTAATGGACTCTGCGCTTTCCACAGTGAGCTGAGGAAACCCATCTGCAAGTAAATAACACTGTTGATAAGTACTCTTCTTACAGAATTAGCCTTGTTTCTTTCTCTGCTATGCTTTATTGTTGTAATGTAACCCAAGTTTCAGCAGAGCACAACTTCCAAGTGGCATCGAAGTATCTGCAGGCTTAAAGCTTGGCGCAGTCTTGGATGCTGTGCTGGCTCGGGACTGATGACAAGGCAATGATGCTGTGCTGTTATAATGCTAAGGAAGAAAGAGGGAGAATTAACAACTCTCCAGATCCACAGCCTCAGTGGCATCTCAGATCAGAACTAGCGCTAAAGAATGTTCACAGCAGGCGCAACAAAGGGGACAGGATATTTTAGGATGTAAGCTCCAACTCCATTACTGTACAGCTGCTTACATACCCTAGATAGACTGGGACAACTGGTGGTCTTGTTGAAGAGGTTCTGACTGAGTCCCAGATTCAGTCCATCCTAGTTTAGACTTGTTCTAAATTGTTTAAAACTACGCAAAACTAACATGTGTTTCTGAAGTACGAAGTCTAAGATATTCTGAGTAATTTTTACACGGTGTATATTTAATTTGTAGGTGCCTTGCAGGTTATAATGGAGAGAGGTGTGAACATTTAACACTAAATTCCTATGCACATAATTCTTACGAACGCTACATTGCTGTGGGAATTGGTATAGGGATACTGACAAGTGGGATACTTGCCATCATCTACTGCTACGTAAGAAAGAGGTACGGGAGACGTGTAACCTTCTCATTCTGTTCAACTGAATTACAGTGGGGGGGGAAAGCTGTGCAGAGTTTTGACAAGGGCATTGGGAGCATGTTCTTGCATTTGTTGTGTGATCTTGAAGGAGCTGATGCTCAATATTTCTGCTTTCTGACCTGCCAGTTGTATAAATACGGTGCAGCTTTGCTAAAAGTGGGTTTTGTTGGGGCTACTTAAATGAATCAAGCAAAATGAATGTTCAGACTACAGGGGTTTTACAGGTGTCTGATTAAAATGACACAACCTTTTCCATTTTAGATGCAGGAAATTGAAATCGCCCTACAAAGTCTGCACAGGAGAGACAGCGTTGTGAAGACATGGCGCTGGGACACTTAGCAATCTGCCTGTAGGCAAGAGGCGGTTCTGTTTGGAGGGCCACCCCCCGCCATCTAGCAGGTACCCCAGCCTCGCTGACGAGGTGAAATGAAGGGAGTGACGGAGCGAGTGTGTAAACGGAACTGCTGCAGAACTGCTGGGCTCCATTCGCTTTTGAAGAAAGACTTGATATTTCTAGTGAAGGCTGCTAGATGAGCAGGTCAGAACAGCAAGGGATACTTGCAGCCTTCTCAGCGCTCTCCTGCGGTTCATATTTGTCCAGGAGAGGACTGAGTCATTTTATCTAGTTTTTGGTCATTTCAAGCCCTAGTACAGTGTTCTGCTCTGGTCTTTCCTGTCTTTTTTTTTCTCCTTCCCTGAAACAACCTGTTTCACAATGGAATTGTATTCTGAACATCATGTGCTGATGAGAAGCCATCTGGATTCTGCTTCTATTGCCGTATGGGACAAAATCATCAAGTGCTTTGGACTGAGGAAAATACATTGTTCTCGGAGACTTAGTAAAATCTGGAATAACAGGTATGCGATTTCTGGAAAATCAGACTATGACACCTTGGGACACAGCAAGTTCTTAACGTTTTTGACGACAGAAGGAATTCAACATCTTTCTCGAAATGGATTATGGAGTGTGCTTGTGACAAAGAACACAAGTTTTCCTAAACATCATGTAGCAGCTCATCACATTGCTGAAACTTAATGCAAAACATTGCTTTGCTGCACGGTGATTTCAGAGCAAGACTCCAGCTGCTACAGAATCTGGAATTTTGTTATGCAACTTAGCATAGCTTTGCCAAGGAAGCATATTCATTTTACTCCTTGTGCACATCCTGTGCACAATGTGACCACTCAGATAAAAAAGAAATGGCCACAGGGATTTTGTTTCGTCCTGGCCAGACAGATTATTACCAGGTGCTTGTTTTCCTTCATCTTTCCTACAAAGAAACGCGAAGGCCGGAGGATTTTGGTCAAGAAGAGACTGAGTTGGTTGTAAGGATGGTGGCACTAATTGTGACTTCTCACTGACATTTGGAGGATTTGCCAGTGCCGATGAGACTGGAGATGTCTCCCAGAGATTTTTCATTTCAGCTGTTGCACATTGTAGACAAATTTGCTGTGCTTAGTCATCTACAAGGAAAAGGCAGATAGGTACCTCAACAATCTTTGGGATTTTTGTGGAATAATGCAGGCTCCTAAATTGCTGTGCGTTGCTGAGAGGTTCAATTTCTTTGTTATGCAAGTTCATTTTTACCAGAGGATGGTTGTCATTTGTTTTTTGTTTAAAAAAATAATAATAATAAGCTGTGTATTTGTGAGACTACAATGGTAATGCTGAAGTGTGTATGGAAGGCTGGATTTTGAGGAGGTAAATGCACACTGAGCACTTGAGTGTTCAGAAGTTCAGTGGGCTCCTCACATGGGGGATCCTGGTCAGTAACTGAGTCGTCTCAGCTCTTGATTTCATACAAAAAAAAAAAAGGCAAACAAAAAAACCTCACAGCACATGACCCTGACTGGACATGATTTTGAAGTCAGCTTTCAGTTGTTGCCCTGTTTTCTGTGTCACCTGTATGTAGTGAGAGAGCAATCAGATGTTAATGCCTGTGCAAATGCACTTAGGCATGCAAAAAACACCCTTCACCCCTTGCACACACACACTGTACAAAGGCTGAACTGAAGTACCTGTTAAAAACTGCACGTCATCAGGAAAACACAGGTTAAAAATCTTCCTTATATCTCTGAGAAAATTTTAATCGCTGGACAGGCCAAAAAGAGGAAAAGCTGCAAAGCATTTGTCATGCAAATTAATCTTTTCCAGTGTCTCTTCCCACACACACCTTGCAAGTGTTGTGTTCGCTTGTAGAAAAAAAATCTTTCTGCATCAAGAAGTCTGTCGTGGAGCAGCCATTCACAGCAACACAACTTTTTCAGTGCATATATGCAGCTGCTTGAGGAGTTTTCAAGTCAGGAGTTTGAACAGCTGGAATTTCTTTTGTCCTAAAGAGCTGTCAGCAGAGAGATGGATTTGTGTGTGTGTGTGTGTTTTAACCATTTGTGAATCCACTCGCTGATGTTCTTCACTATCTGGTGGCCAAATGGGTGCGCTGCAGGTCATCGAAGTGCTTCTTGAAAAGTATTTATTCAAAACAGAGATACTCTGTACCTAGAGAAATGCACACTGATATTTTTTTATGTTTAACTAGAACATGGATGCCAGCTGAAAAGGGAGATTATTTCAAGGCCCCAGTTTGGCAGGAAACTTTTTCTAGTTTGCTTTCAGGACCAAGGCAGCTCTGTGAGGGCTGCCTGCGAAATTTTGCAGGGGTTTTGTGCTAATGGAAGAAAAGCTCCAGAGTGAAATACCAGATGAGTCCATGGCATGCAAAATAAAACTTGGTCTAAGCGCAGGGAGAGTAAAATGGAAAGACAGATGGAAGAAGGAAGAGAAATGAGGTCTTTGCTTTATTTTTTTTTCTTTTTCCAATTGGTAGTGAGGCTTCCAGATGTGGGTTCCTCACCACTTGGGTGCCTCATCCTTTGCCAAAGCACGATGTGGGAGCAGGCTGCCAGCTCCTCAAACATCCCAGCTTGGTGGCACCAGCACAGATGACTGTTCTCTCTGTCAGCCTGCACAGTGTTTACAGGCTGTAGCCCGTTTGGGAGAAGAGCCTTGTCATTGCTGTTCTAAGGGATTTCATCAGGCCCAAGCTGTGTTTGAGGCATCCCTGCAGGAATGAATCATTCAGCTGTTTGATGCAGTGACCCTGCTGAGGAAGTCTGTGCTGCCTCAGATTGCTTCGTGGAGTCAGCTGTGCTGAGCCCTGCCTTGATAAGTGACAGGTGCTACTGGGCTAGTATTGTCTGTTGCTGCTTACAGTGCTGAATTTCCTGCAGAACTGGCCCGTCAGAGGATCGGGATCGTCTTTCCTGTCTCATTTATCAGGCTCAGACTCTTTCTGTAATGGCATAATTAACAGAGCTGTGAGCTTCTCTTTCCTATTAGCTGCACGTGCCAAAAACGCTGCCATTTCGGGAGGAGACCCTGTGCTTGTGTGGCTTCTGGGTACCCCTGCATCAGGCGTAGTGGGGGCACCAGCTCAGCAGGGAGGGGAGAGAGATGCTAAAGACTGGGACCTGCCTTTGCAAAGGACGGAGCATTGCCTTGCATGCGATCCTGGCTGCTGGAACCACACCACAGTGCCTCACAGTGCATCACTTGAGCCTAGCTGTCCATACGCAACCAAACCCTCTCCCTACTTCGCAGCAATCCTCTCTCAACATCTGGGTGCACTTTGTCACTAATGCTTGGCTGGGACTTGAGCTCCTCCCCAGCATCTGACACCCGTTTTCTTCTGAAGTACCTGGGTAGCCCGCAGTGTACCTGCTGGCAGCAAGGCCCATTTAAAATGCTGGGATGCAAGCCTGTGGAAAAGATGAGTGTCCTGGCAAAATACTTTTCTTAATCTTGGAAGGAAGCATATTGCTGGCTGACAGTCAGTGCACAAAGTGTCCCTGTGGGCACTGAAAACTGTCCCACCTTCCTGACAGGGTGTGCTGTTGTTTCCTAGCAGTGCCCAAGATCACCCATGAGTGCATCAGCAGCCTGAGCAGGGGGCATGCCAGCAGCCAGGCCACTGGCACAACTCGTCTCATAGCCAGTCAGCAACAGCAGGCAGTGCCAGAGGCTCCCGGAGCTGGTCTGAGAGATGTGGTGGCAGGCAGGTAGGAGAGTTTTCCCTCAGAGAAGGTTTTCTCTTATTGTTGATAACTGAGAACAGGGTTTGGATGATAATACAGCAGTGTGTCTGATCCTTCTCACATACAATGGAAGAACAGCTTCTTCTAGTGTGTAGTAAAAGAAAAAAAAAAAAAGATTTGTGTTTATGTGGCTGGCAAAAGGCTTCCTTGGGCGTCATTTGAGCCATAAACGCTGGGTTATGTCCTAGGAACTAGAGGTGAAGTGTTAGCAGTTCTCTATTTCAGGCAAAAACAATCACATAGCTCAGCATAACTTCCTGACTTTTTAGTTGTTAACACTAGTTCTGTTTTATTTAATTTCTGGTCCATGTAATGTGCTGTGGTTGGAAAAGCATCCCTCAAAGAGAAAGCCAATTTGGCAAAATAATGAATTTAATAATTATGTTAGGAATAGTTGCAATGACCTCTGTGACTTAATGGATTTGACTTCACAGCATCTACGTGAAGCAGATCAGTGCTTTGGGGATGATGTGCTGTGGAAACTGAGACGAGGACGGACTAAATTCACGTGAGTGAGAGGCATCAGGGCAGCGAATCCAGACTCCTCGGAGCCTCTTGTGCTGTAGCCAATAGGTCATGTTTTTGCTCCTTTTAGTGCTCTTAAGAAATGGTTATCACATTGATGGATAATGCGCTAGTAGTTTTCAGAGAGGGAAAAGAAGGGAATTCTAGGTAAGATGAAAGTTCGAAGGCAAGAACATGAGTTTCTTCTTGAATATTCATTTGAGCTCTGGGTGGTATATGACATGAGGACAAGGTTTTTGTTTGAGAAATATGACAACAAACCAGTACTTGGGAGGGGAGGGAAAAAAAGGCGATTCACATGTGCAAGTAAATGATCAGCAGGTTGTATGCGGTTAGCTCCAACCCATTGTGTGCAGGGTTTGTGGAAGTCCTGTTCATTTCAGGAGCTCCTGGCCAGGAACAGAACAATTTCAGGGCAGCCTTGAGAAAAGTGAACATGACAAACTAGGAGGGGGGAGAATGTACTGGTTATTGTTTACATTTCAAGGTGTTGGGTGGCTCAAAGGCACGAGAGAGCAAATTGGCCTGACGACTGAGAGACTGAAAGTGCTGTCTGCACAGCTCAGTGCTTTGGTCACTGCGTTTGTAGAGCTCTGATGGCATCTGCAGTGACGTGTGGCTGCTCGTGCACATCACGTCCTTCGCCTGGCTCTGGAGAGGGAAGCACCTGTAGAGGTCCCTATTGTACTATAAATCCAGGAAATCACTCAGGATGCCTTTACGACCAGTTAACAAACAAACAGAAAAGCGCAGCTACTCATTAAAAGCTCAGTGTAAGTAGTCATTAATTATCATGACAGCAATAAAATCTTGTACTATGACTAGGCTCTGGGCTGCTCCTACTCTCGCTGAAGTGAGTGTGAGCAAGAGCAGGCTCTGAGAAGCAGCTCTCAGCGAGCTGAAGGAGGTGTCGCAGCACAGCTGCTGCTGCTGGTTTGTGCCTCCTCTGGAGGAGGACCCATGAAATGAGAGGAAACAGAGGCACGGGGAGGCCAAGTCACTTGATCTAAATCCCAGAAAACAAGATGGGTGTGTAGACCCTGGGCCTTTGGGCCCTTACACGGCCTAGGTAATGGCTTTTTTCTCCTATTTGCAGCCCAATATTTTGCTTTTATTAAGAAAGAGCAGAGGTATGGGGCCTGGCAAGAGACCCTGAAAGAGACCCCCGAGGCAGGGTAGCCATTCAGTAGGCATCTTATTAATAAAGGATGGAAATCTGTAGTACCTATGATCATGTTTTCATGGTCTCACATCTAAATCTTTTCTTTTCTTCCTTGCTGGGGCTTCAATTTGATAAATGTTCACATAGAAGAGAAAGGCACAATGTAGGCAGTAAGTGACACAGAAAAATACAAATATAATGCTCTCCATCATGGGATTTTTCCATATAGCTCATGGATTATGGGTTATGGTCTGTGTCCTGCTCTTACATCCCTGTAGAAGCAACAGGTCACATAACCACACTGAGGCTGTTGTATAGCTGGTCCAATTGATTGTTAGTTTGATGGAGTTGGACAAATTAAAATTTTAATCTTAAAAATATGAGAAATTCCCAAGCTAGGGTAAAAACGGTTTTAAATGCTTGTCTTCTCTAACAGTTCAAGATGAGCTGAACGTGGGACTTGAGGCATGTCTTGCCAAGCCACATTTTGGGAGATGCCCATCCAATTTTTTTCCCCATTTAGGCAATCAGGACTCCTGCGAAATTGGCAGGTAGCTCTGGGATCGGTTTTCCAACTCAGAAGTCAGAGGTATCCAGATGGCACGTTTGGGTTCTGTATCTGACAGTGACTCACTTAAACACAGAATTTTAATGAAATCTTCATGTTGAGTTTATCTGGTGCAGGTTTGCAAACAGGTTGCCTAACAGCAGTTCCATTTTGACACTCTTATTTAAACAGTACTTTGTCCTTTAACAGGCAGAAGCACAGCTAGGTGGTTCTGTGAGTACTAGAAATTGAAATGTGGCTGTGGTTCTTGGCCATGACTGACCCAAAATACCGTGTGGTGGCTTTGTCATTGGCCAAGGAGAGACTGAGAATGGGGAGCCAGGCTGAGGCAGCTGTGGGAAGGCTTCCCAGGCACAGCACATCCAGGAGCCTGGTGCTGAGTGCACCCCACATGCTGTGCAGGGGCTGCAGACCTCCTGGGAGCACTGTTTCTGTTTGCAAATTGATCTGTCTTCAGCTTCCCAAGGCAAGGAGCCACAATGTGACCCAGGGTTGGGAGTGGTACAGCTCGTCACTGTCACTTTACGACATATGCTCTGCTCTTTGCTACTTTGAATTATTTTATAGTGGTGTTCTGTCATCGTTTTTGCTATGGCAGGCGAAGAAAAAGCCAAGAACTCTTCCTATGTCTTCTCTGTGCAGGACTCCAGCACAAAGATGCCTCCTGGTAGCTCCTGCTGAGAAATAGCACAGCCAGGGTTGAGACACAAGAAGATAGGGCCGTGCTTTGCAAGAGCATCTGACTAACCCGAGCAAAGCTAATTTGTTTGACATCATTGCTGTACGTAAGACTAAGTCTGTTTGTGTCCCATTGTTACGGCAAATCCCATGATGAGCTGCGTTTTATTGACTTCTGCTGGCCGTTTGACGGAGCCCCAGCGGCAGATGTGAATAGGAGCGCTGTTCCAGGAAGCTGTCTAATAGATACTCCTTGGGATTTGGAAGGTTGCAGGGCAACCGGTAGGCCTGGCAGGTAGCTGCAACAGCTTTACGTAACAGGGAGGACCCAGGAGCTTTCAGGGCATCCCTGCCCTGCGAGCCAGCCAGCCCAGCAGCCACCCCGCAGGGCGGTGAGGCATCTAAGACAAGGCACTGGCAGGCAGGGGACAGTGTGGGGACCGGGATTTTATGGGGCCATGCCACATGGCCAGAACATGCAGATTTTGACCTAAGTGTTTGTGTCTTTTCCCTCTCTTCAAGACTACATGCATGTGCTTATGCCTATTTAGTGGAGGGATGTTGCTGAGACAGCAAAACACGAGGAGGGGCCCCTCAGGTGGCCTCATCTGCACTTGTGCTTTTTGGCAGCTCTTAGCATCTTAGACATTGGGTCTTGGCAGCTCTGGCACAGAACGTGGGCATAGCAGGAGAGCTGCTGGGAAGGGTGGTGGTTATGCTGTGTGATTTTCCAGCAAGGAAAATAAGTGGATGCAGAGTTCCTAGATGACTGACTGACTGCCGTGTGACAGGGCCTCATCCTTCTGTTCAATTCAAGATCAGACCTGGGTCCGCATGGGAGCAAATGCTGGGATACCTGAAGGTTGTAGCAGGTAGAGTGGTGGCTGTGAAAACAATCCAGTAGGAATTTGTGCTAATTTCTCTTGCTGCCTTGGTGGCAAGGGGCAGAACTGTGAACTTGAAGATGGGCATGAACTTGAAGACAAAGGCTGATGAACCCGTGAAGCTTGTAATTTCCAGGCTGATCCTGTAAAACAAGTCAGAAGAAGCAGGATTGAGCATTTCAAGGCAAAACTAAGTTCAAAACCCAGAATGACCACTGGAAAGAGCTGACCAGTTGCACAGAGAGTGGTAAGACCCGTGGAAGGGTGCAGGAGATGCCTGTCTCACTGCTGTGGCTTCTGCTTCAGCTGTGTCCTGGTTTCCCACTTAGGACCGTACAGCCCCTACACAACGGTGAACTCGTGCGGCTTGGCTTAGATTGCTTAAAAGAGCAGCTCTGAAGTATCCCTGCTGGACATGCAGCCCCTGTTAAATGAATGCAGACCCCAGCAGTTGAGCTGGGTTTTGTAGTTGCATATGGATTGGTGATCAGACAACCTGACTGAACCAAGACAGGGATTTTGTTAATCCAAGCCCTCCAGAATGTGAGTCCTTTTACAGCAGTGCCTGGGAGCTCACTGCCCTCCCACAACTGGCTGTCATTGTCATGAGGACTGGTGTGTGTCCAGCAGCTGGGGGTTAAAGCTCAGCCTTTCCTCCTTTTCCAGGTAAAAGTGATGTTGCAGATCTGCCTGCTGCTCTCAGAGCAGCACCAGCTCAGGCTGTCCTCGTTTACCAGAATGAACCAGCACACAAACGCAGCGCGGCTCCTGAGGAGCTGAAAGACTGGAAATTCTCTTGCCCTTTCCCCTCGCCTCGTTAATACTTCTCTTGACTTTTTTTGGTGGCACGTTCATTGCTTCTCAAGTGCAAATATGTTTGTGAGGTCTCCTCCCTCGGGCACATCTCAGCCATCTGAATGCCTTCTTCCATCACTAACTGCTTTTCCCATCAAGATTACAGCAGCAAAAAATGTTCTCTATGGGCTGGGTGCTCCCCTATGCATGAAAAATGTGTGCAGGAGCCAAGAAACACCAGGAGTTTCCTCCTGATTGTTCCAAATAAGAACGGGGAGTGACGCAGGCGAAGGGCATGACCTTACAGAGACACATGCACGCATGCTTTGAGATCTGCACAGAAATGGCCGTGACCTCAGCAAAACCTTACGGGATTTAGGGGAAGTTGGACTGGGTTGTGTGGCCTTGGACATTCCCATCCAACTCTTTCTTCTTTTCCAGCACGGTTCCTTACAGGTCCAGCCTTCCAGGCCTTCCCAGTGCAGGTGTCCCCTCCTTCCACCATCCACAAGTGCTGTGGTGCAGGAGGAAATCCCCTGGGTTTGTCCTGTGTGGAAGCCTCCAATGGGTTGTAGGGCAGAGGTGCCAGAGCGTTTCTGCCCGGGTTCTGAGCAATGCCAAGGGCTGGGCCAGGCCCCCAAAGAGAAGAAAGTCCGCGAGCTTTCACAGGGTTGGGAGGAGAGATGGAGCCTGCCATTCTTGCTTTCCCCTCCTGTTATTCAGGGCAAGTTTGCACTGGTTTGACCTCTCCGTTCATCTAGGCAGAGGACAGATATCCTGGTGTGGGATCCCGCTGTAAACTGGTCCAGCGCACTCTTGTATTTCAGGTGCCACTTTCAAACTACAACCTGGAAAGTCTTAAAAGAGGTATTTAGGATGATTCCACGAAGGGTTAGTTTGCTTTTTAGACCATTAAGTGTTTGTGAAATGCAGCCATTTAATGTCTTAACACGAGGATTTTTAAGAGAATTAAAAGGGATCTGGGATTTTCCCAATTAGCTCTGGCCTGACTCCAAGACCTGCCGCAGGCTGTAGTAAAACCCCTGTTGATTTCAGTGGGTATGGAATTAGTGTTTGGGTATTTAGGCATTTTTAGGCTTTTGATTGCCATGGGCACTCAATTACTTAAATTTCTTAAAATGTACTTTTTAATATTTATATTACTAGGGGGTTCCGTGGGATGTAAGAGGAGCAGGATGAGAGATGCAGGCCACCATGCTATGCAGTAACAGCAACTCATAAATGTAAGCATGCTCTGAATACTATTGGAAGGTTAAAAACCCCTGGGTGGGGGACAAAACTTGAGTATTTTTCTAAATACAGGACAATTTGGACAGAGCCTGTGGAAATCCTGGTCATTTTTCCATCAACTTCATGAGGCTTATGAACAGCCTTCTGGTTGCTGTAACACAGGAGAATCTGGGAGCATCTCTTGTGTTTGTGCCAGTTCTTCCTCTCCTGTTCTGCAGATGAAATTGTACCAGAATTAGCACGGCTGGCTTTGAGGGGTGACTTGTGAAATTACACCTGGCAGTGGTGGGAATTAGCCTTTGTGTGGTTCTGTAGGATTTTCTTTTTACCAGCTTTTAAAGCCTGGCATAGGACTTCAGAACAGTGTGTGCACTACCTGCAATGCAAGTGAATTCTAGCTTTTCTCCTTTGTGCTGTGGCTGTTTCAAAAGAAAATATGACACAGATAGGAGCCAAATTCCCTTTGTCATCAAACGTTTGAATCCCTTAAAGACTGTGCATTGTTTCCTGTTACTTGCTGTTCGCTCAGCACACTAGCTCTCTGCTGCCACGTACACAATTTCTCTTATGCCAAATAACATTTTCTGTGCTCAGTGTCTAGCACACATGGAAATAAGTAGTGAAATGTTCACCCATGCACCCTGAATGTACAATAGAAAACTTCAGATTTTAATGTACAGGATGTACCTTGTGCTGCTGCCAAGCTCGGGCTCTGACTTAGATCCCAAGGATTTTGGTAATGTTGTTGAGCAGCAAGTTTGTCTTTTGTTTCTCATAAAAATATCTTGGTTAACCTAGAACTCAGGTTCACACAGATCAGTACATGTGCAGAAAGCCCTGCGGAAAACATACCATTATCCTCGAAGGAACTTGGGTAGAAAACAACACAAACCCATCTCCATCCCGAGCCTCATGTGAGAGTGCTGTGTGGGGTTCTGCTGCGGTGTGGTGGCAGATCTGTGTCACTGGACCCAGCCAGGCCCTGTGGATGAGACCCCAAAACTCTTATACATGAGTTAGTCTGGTTACTGCTGTTGGCTGTGTGGGATAGCGGGCCAGGCCAGCGCAGAAGCTCTGCACTCATATGTGTACCAGTAGCAGTACGAGATGAAAGGGAACATAGCACTGAGGCCTGGTAGCACAGCACAGTGGGGCACGGGGAGCTGTGTATCCCAGGGTGTGTGGAAAAGTTCTGGGGTTCAGATGGAAGAGCTTTCAGAGACTCCATCTGATGAATGATTTCCAGTTAATAGCTACTGGCTGCAAAGGTAAATCCTCCTCAATTTCCAGCCAGAGCAAAAGTTAGTGATACAGAGATTTTTTCATGTTCTACACTAGATCTTGAGTCCAGGCCTTTCCACAAATCAAATTCCCCAAGGATTATGGTCTTAAGCTGTATGCAAAATGATTTTCTTATACAAATAAGACAGCATTACAGTTCATACGCATTAATGCAGGTCACTCAGACCAAGGTTTCCCTGTGTCATGAGTTTTGGGGCAGCACAAAGAAAGCCTACACCTGCTTCAGCAGACCTGTTATTTCAGAAGCTTGAGCTCAAAACGTGTCTGTCACACACTGCAGACTTCTTAAATCTCCTGTCCCTTTTGTAAGGCAACAGAGTGCCTGGGATCAGGATGTCAGCTGCAAGTTCATTTTGCCCGTGCTAAGGGTGAGGAAGCAGCCAAGGGAAAAAAGCTCGGGTTGGGTCTCTGAGACCACCACGCACAGGAGATGACATCTCCCAGCTGGCAGTCAGTGTGCCCAAGGGACAGAGTGGTTGTCGCCTTTAAGCATAGCAGCCTGACAGTTGTGCTACTGCAAGTCTTCCTCCTCGTTCAGCTTGACATTTTTAATCTACTACAGCATGGATCTGGGCTCTGGGATGAGGAAGAGGAGTCTGGGAGGCAGCCGGTGCTGCTCTCACTCGCCACCTGCAGAGGAAGTGATCTGCGAGCAGGGCAGGAGCAGGGATCACGGGAGATGCAGGTGGAAGCCTGTGCCTCGACACGCGCCTCGGGTAAGCTGCGCGTGCCTCGGTTCCACCCTCCGAGAGGTCCCAAAATAGTTGCAGGGATGCCGTGGGGGTGAAAGCATTGAAGACCGTGAGGGTAGTTCATAGGCGCTGGGGGATGGTGGAACAACGCTCAATCCTTAAGTAGGTCTTGGCACCTGTAGATCAAAAACCAGTCTCGCCCTCGGTGCGGGGGAAGCAGGCAGCATCTCGGCAGCCAGCTGAAAGGATGCGGGGACTCCCCTGGCCCGTCAGACTGTAGGGAAGGGGAACACCTCTCTCTCTCTCTCTCTCTGCCTTTGCTTTTGCTGCTTGCCTCCTTCGGCGCTCCCGTCCATAAACAACTGGGGGGAGTTTCGGGTGTTATTAATTTTAATCAAGTGGTTTTAGGAATGCTTTGCCTCTGTGGAGCTTTCATAACATCTACTAATAGAGGCTTTTGGCAAGAGCAGTAAAGCAAATTGCTCCCACCCTCCCTTAGCGTGCGGTGAGCAGTGTCTATCCCAACAGCCACGTGACTGAAAGTCTGAGCACGGCGCAGCACCTGGGAGGCTGCGAATGCCCTTGTGAAACACCCCGGCCTCCATGTCCAGCACAGAAGCGTGAGCCTCTGCCCTCCCACACTTACTTTGCCCGTGATCCCTGCAGACTTGAGCAGTTCTCCAGAGCTGCCCAGTTTGAGCGAATTGGGAATGTTCTGCCACTGGGTAGCGCATTCTCATGCCACAGCTGCCACCGAGTCATATTTCCTTTGCTTTGGAAGGCTTACATCAGACCTTTAGGTGTTTTGGGCAGGAACTTTTCTGTTTATCTGCCTACCAGGTAAGGGAAAGGTGAGCAATTTTTATGCTTTAAATGCCTCTCATATCTCCCCAAGGGCATTCAGTTATCTCATTTCTTAGCTGTAGATACACTTGCAATGGGTGTAAGTTAGTTTCCTCGTGCTTTATCTGCAAAGCCATCTGTGAAGCCCAGCTGAGTTCATAGTGCAAAACAGTGATCTACCTCAGAAGAAGTGACATCAGGACTTAACACTGCCTTCTCCTCCTGGTTTTGAAATTTACGAAGTTTGCCACAATTTCATTGCCAGTTGTCTCCATTCAGCTGGTGCTAATGAAGCGATTGAGGTGTGAAAAACAGGCCCAACGTTTCCCACTTGTGGTGGCAGCAGGAATGACACCAGAGCAGTCTGTGTTCCTTCCCCTTGGGTCCAGCCAAGGCAGCTCCTGCATCCGGAGCGAAGGCTGCTCTCCGTGCCTCGAGTATGGCAGGAGACAATTCTCCTGCCCTCCCAGTCCTCTCACCTAAGTGACGGGCATAGAAGGAGATGAGAAGAAAACGGGGTTTGCAGGCTTTGGTGTCACTGACCTTATTCTGGGAAGCAGACAGAAATGAGATCAATGTTCTAGCTTTTTCTTGCTTGTGACACAGCATGTGACTCACATCTTTCTACCAAAGTCTGGGGGAATTGCGTGTGCAGGTGGGAGGAGATGCAGAACAGGAAGGCTGTGAAGCACAGGGAGAGCTGCTCTCATAGTTTTAGGCAGGATTAACAAGATGTGCAAGTGCAGTCCTTTTTTCTGATATATACTGAGGGGGAAAAAATCATTGCAAGACAACCAGGCTCCATGGAGTATTTCGCATTCAGGGACAGAGATGGAGCTAGGGGGCTATCGTAGCCTGGCAGAGAGGCCAAGACAGTAAGCTGTGCCCTGTTTACCCTCACAACCATCTTCATCAGGGATGGTAACCTGGACTGGCCCGGACAGACAGCTTCTGCTGTAGTGCATGGCTTGACTGAGTATCTCTCTGTGGCAGATAAGATCTTGGATGAGAGGCCACAGAGGTTTTCTGGTCAACAGCACAACCTCGCTAGCACTGCTGCAGAGTAAGTGTGGGAGCTGGGGGAAACCAGCCTGACTCGGAGAAGCATTAACAGTCAGGGGACAGCGTTAGGATCTGTGTCACGTGCAAACCCCAGGGTTTTGTTAAGGGATGGCACCAGATATCTGAGACGATCTTTTTTATGTGCATCATGTTTGGAGATGGCAACAATATAAATTCTTACAAGGACTCCCTCACTTGCTGAAGAAGTATTTAAGGTTGGGGCAAGTATTTCTCAAATGCTTTACTGGGATCTGACCTTAAGCTAGCACAGGTACTGTCTGTCATTACAGTTCCTTAAGGCGCTTATTTTGAAGCTAAGGATGTACTGACAGACTGCTTTGCATCAGTGCACTCCCAGCAGTGGGTTATTCACACTTGCATCAGGAGTGACACAACATTATGCTGCCTCTTCTCCCACGCCATGGGTTTAGTGCAGTCCTTCTGTTGGTTTTCAAGCTGGAGTTTCCCTCTGCATGAAGGCAACTTATCCATCCCCCAGAGCTCGCTACTTTGTCTCTTAAACGTGGGCTAACTGGGGTAGGCACACATGAATTTTAGTACAATATTTAGCTTAGAGGGAAATGCTGGCCTCTCTCACTGCCAAGAGGATGTGTCTGTAGGTGGATTGATACAACACGAGAGGGTTGTGTTACAACTTCTTTTCGAAAGGTACTTTTGGTTTGACTGCAGGAAATTTACTGTTTACAGACAGATACCTAGCTGCTGACCATCTAAACACTCTCTTCTGCAATGCTCAAGGAAACCCCAAGAAAATATTAAAGAAAGATTTTTCTGTGTGCCATATGTCTGTAGGTGTACGTGTACGTGTCCCCATCTGCATTCAGCTGGAGAGAAGTTGATGTGAAAAATTAAACAACACACAATAAACAAATCTAGCTAAGGTGCAGCAGCAGGAATTCAGAGCAGCACATTCTCCTGCTCTTTCTCTGACTGAGGAGAAATGCACCGTGCAAGCCTGGAAAATGCTGGCAACAATAATGCATTATTTCTTGGATTTCTGCTTGCCCGGGCAACGTGCTGAAGATGTACCAACCCCAGGATCAAACTGTAGGAGAGACGAAGCAGAATCATTGGTACATGCAATTAGAGGCAATTGTTGTGGTCAGTAACAGTTGTGTAAC